GGGTCTTCTCATAGTCTGTACGAGACTAAAAAGGTTCAGTTCCGTCAGCCTGTCAGAGCAGGACCCCCCTTTAAGCACAGTAATGTGTCTTTGTGCTCTTCTCCAGCCTTATTCCACAGCAGCACGATATTTTCTGTAATATGGTGACCAAAATTGTGCACAGTGTTTTAAACGAGGCCTTCCTAGTGCATTATCCAGCTGTATTATGCAACATAAGAAGTGGGTCATCAGATGTGTGCCCTGCTGTGCCTGTAAATTGATTTTTTTAATAAGGGTTTTTGTTCTCAGGCGTTTACCAGTTTACAAGAGGCTGTTTCGATTCCAGCTTGCTTGTTTGGCCACCTGTAGCTGATCCTCAGTCCTCTTTCTCAAAGCAGCTGGATGTGCCCGAGATCCTGAAGGCTCTGCAAATGAGCTGCCCTGCGTGTCGGTGTTCCAGACCCAGGTTTAGGAGGCGACGTCTTAGATGTGGAAAATCCCTCTGTGCTGTTCTTGAAATTGCCCCGGATTTGCAGCAAAATGTGTTCAAAACATTTCACTGTGATGTTTTGTCTGCATGTCCCCACGCTATTATTACCATGTTGATTTAATGCTAGGTTTTGGGAGGCTGGGTAATAATGTGTCTTCCGAATCATGGCCCCGAGTTTGAATCAGCATTGAAAAGTCTGTAATACAGACTGAGATCAGGGTAGATTTGCATGGGAATTCAGGGCTGCGGCTGTTGAGTACTGAGCAGGATTTAATTCATTGCAGCTTCTGAACAGGTACATGCTGGAATAAGAATGTTTTGTTGTTTTTAGCCTTAGACTTACCGTTTTCTGCACTACCCCTGTGGTTTGCAATTGCCATTCCTGTGTTTTCCACGTCTCGGCTCGCAGCTATGAACCCCCATCTGCACATGGGGGAGAGTGAAGGAAGACTCCGCCCACCTGGCCACCTTCAAGCCAATCAGCTTTTAATATGTCACAGGCAGCACCGCCCCGTAGAGGAGGATCAGCGTTTTCATTGGAGGGCAGGCGCGTCCCTCGTTGACAGCACTTGCAGGCACTCGGAAAGCCACAGGAGTCCCTTTATTGTGCAGATCTCCTGCCCAACGAGTCCCGCAATCGGCTAAGGCCTGCCCGATTTGAGGAATCCAAGTCCTGTTCGACTACTGACATGACCCAGGCTCAAACCCACGATGACGCACTTTTACTGGTTGAGCCACTCTGAAGGCTCCAGGAGGGACATCACTGGGGGGGGTTTGCGGGTTGTGGATGAGCTTGTTCCAGACATGAGGGGCTACTGATCCTCAGCAGAATGGTTTTGACGCTGCCCGCCCTGGCGTCAAACCACGCTGTTCCAGCCAGCGATCTCTGGACAGTGAGAAGGGAAACGTTTCTTGTAACCTCTGACCTCTGACCTCCCTCCCACTCCTCTCCTTGCAGGACAAACTCGGACTCTGCGCTCCACACCAGCGTCATGAACCCCAATGCGCAAGATGCCTTCGGCTCTGGCCCGGGCCTGGCGCCCCAGAACAGGCACAGTGGTGAGCTTTGCTGGGGGAGTTCAGATCTTAAACCTCTCTCTTGTGTTGTCAGAATGCAGAACCCCTTAATTATTGGCTCTCTCCAAGAATGTATAATTCAGATCTTTTTTCAAACACTCTTTGGCTTTAGAATGCCTTGCATGGGATATGCTGCAGTCAAGAAACTTCCCCCAGAGCTTTCTCCAGCCTGTCCTTAACTTGCCTGATAAATTAGAACTGTCTAAACCGCGCTGGAACGTGTAGTTATTAGTGGTGAACAGGCACTGTTGAGCAATTACAGTGTGTCAGTCCAATTACAGTCCCTTAATAAGCATTCTCATTCGTACCTGAGGCCCAGTTGCTTGTAGTCTTGATTCCTAACCTAGGCTGCTCGAGACATCTTAATTATGGAATAGTTGTAGTGTTAAACCTGAGGGTGCTCCCCTGCTTTGATTCACCTCAAGGAGGATTGTAACTAAAAAACTTTCCAACCCCTTCAGACGTCTAAAGCGCTGAGATCCGTTTGCAAAGGAAGAGGTCTGATTGAGAAACCATTTCCGCCAAAGGATCAGTTTGCCTGTATCTTTACGAATTGCCCTTAATTTGGGCTGTTTGACGGTATTCACCTTTTAAACAAGCCACCTTTTAACTATGGCATTTCATAAATAAAATGGGCGAATATTTGAGTAGAAAACAAACTTGCCAGTCTTCCAGTCAGTCAGCTTGCTGGTTCAGCTAAGCCTTCAGCTGGGTAATTCAGCCGAGCTGGAGAGACAACCAAAGTGTTGCAGGCCTCCAGGACCACGGTCTGGAACCCCTGGTTTAAAAGGAAACAGCAGTCCCAGTTTCTCAGGCCTGTCAATAAATCTTGATAACAAAACACATTCATTGACATTATAGAAACAAATGACAAATTTTGGATTAAGCACAAGATCGATAACTTCCTGAAAATACTGGAAGTTGCCGTTTTGTTGCAAACTCACAGTCAAGCCCCACGGACTGTGACGTGAAGCGGCCCTTCCTGCTCACTAGTCACTGTAACGACTAGTGTACGAGTGAATAAGTACAGGTACTGCAACAGACACTTCACCGCAGAAATGTTTCATCGTGATCAATCTACATGCAGAGCTAACAAGTAATATTTGTGAGCAAAACTGCCTCAAAATTGAGAGCAAAATCACCCCCTTGTTTCCTCGTTCTGAATAGCAGAACATGATGCTGCACATCCCTGGGAATTGTGTCTATTTTGTGATGTAAATTGGAGGTGTTACAAATTACTGTCTAGGTTGGACTTTTATCATGGTTTGAAATGCACTCATCAATGGTGATGCTTCCTAACCCCTGAAATATGAAAATAGCATTGCCGTTCCCTTTTTAAGGTTAATGGAGGTCTTGAGCTACAACTCTGAAGCCCCAGAAACTAGTTGAAGGATGAAGGTAACTTGTTCAATTTTGCAGGATTTCATTTTTTAATTCTTTGTCTCTTTAATTGTAGGCTTGATTGAAGGTGATGGAAGAAAAAGTAAGTTTGTTTTGTTGTTCTCGTTTCCTGGGGTTAACATAATTTATTGTTGGCCGAGCGTGATTTGCTTTCTGTTGCCCCGGTTCTTGAACAGGGGGGTAGTAAGCTGTTGTACTTGTAGTGTGGTCCTTAAGGGCCAAAGATTAAAGGCCCCATGCTCACGAAGGCTTGCCCACCCATATGAAGACATACCCCGCCCCCAAAGAGACATGCCCCACCCACATGAAGACATACCCGCCCCAACAGAGACATGCCACACCCACATGAATATATGCCCCACCCCCATAGAGACATGCCACACCCATGTGAAGACATACCCCGCCCCCACTGAGACATGCCCCACCTATAAGAAGATGTGCCCCACCCCCACAGAGACCAGTCCCTTCCATATGAAGGACATGTCAAAAGAGCTATAGGAGTTTTAAAGTGGGGATCTGATTCTGTATAGGCTTTACAATGGATGTACACATCCAGGTGGAGAATAATTGCTTACACTTATATAGCGCTTTTCTGGACACTCCACTCAAAGCGCTTTACAGGTAATGGGGATCCCCTCCACCACCACCAGTGTGCAGCCCC